GTAACATTTGGTCACCACCAACTTCCAGATCTTTAAAGATGAGTTTTGTCACTATGGCAGTTGATATATTGGCTTTCTTATGAAATATTTACTAGGAAAAAAATAAGATTTCCCATTTACTGTAAGCAGAACCAGAAAAATTACAGAAAAACTTGGTTTAAAAACAATGTGAAGTAAAGTGTGATGAATTATTGCAATCATCATGATCCCAGGTAAAAGATAGATGGCAAATTAATGAACTGTAAGGAAATACATTCAAACTCAGATAATTAATCTTATTGTGAAAATAGTCAAGAAACTTACAGAAGTATGTAGCATCTGAATGATTACATTTCAACCAAGGTCTCAGCTCCTGCGATCAGACACCATTAGCGACAATCCTTGTTGCATTTGCAGGTTCAGGTATGTGAAGAATAAAGTCACATGAAGTATGCATGTGCTATTTTGTCAGGGGTGACTGCAGCCTTGGTGTGTCTCACTGACATGGCAAAGGGAATAGGAATGATGCCCCAGGACTGGAGTCAATTCAAAATGCTGTTTTACAAACCTTACACTAGTTTTGGAAGACCACTGCAAAATTACCCTTCACCTGAAAAGACATGTCCTTGATTTGATGTGCTGTGTGGGTTTTGGAAAACAGTGGGAAGCAGATCTCAATATGCTGTACTTACCCACATGTTCTTTCCTTTTGCTTGGGGTGGACTGGGTCTGATTGTCCCCAGTGTTCCCGTAGCTGCACCGCAGTGAGCTTTGTGATTTTGACAAAGGGCACAATTATACCCGCTTTGAAATGCATTTACAAATATTCTGCATGCTGGTGCAACTGGCATAAAACACAGACAGCCCCTCGGGTGCCCAAGTTCTCCTTTCACACTTCAACATTTCAAATGACTACAAGCAGAATTACCAGAAACAGCAGTAAATTCCTGGCACTGGAGGTTCCCATGATCCCAGCTGGCAGGCAAAAAGGACCGTCTTTTTTTCCCCTGAAAATAATGTACTTCCCAGGCACCGTCCAAATTCCTCAAATGAGAGATTTGTTTTGACCAACATATAAAAAGACTTTCCCCTTCTCAGGTCCTGATAGTCGCTTAAAATATACACAAAATTCACTTAATTAATTTCCCTAAAGTGATATTTAACACTTCTGAAGTAGGAAGCTCTGGTTTCTCTTAATGGTATTTTCAGAGTTCCCTGGTGAAGGATACTTAATTTGACTTTTTATTGTCTAGCCACAAATAGGACAATCTCAGTATGTTTTTGTTCAAAATTTGAAATGGTGGCTTAGACTTGAACCCAGTGTCGTGCTAGAGTCTGTGTCCTGAGAGAGACAGACCTCACAGAGATCCAGCTCTCTGTCTCTAGGTGAAAGTGCCCTTTCTTTCCCTTTCAGCAGGGAAATTATTTTTATTTCATTTAGTGCCTGTGTGTGGTTGGCTGTTTTGTGGTCTCTGGCATAAGGGAAACAAAGAGCATGGTTTTGCCTTGTAAATGAAGGGGGATAAATGGAAAGTCTCTTTTTGGTCGATAATGGACAGAAGTAATTCAATTTCCTAGACCAGGGGCCTCAGTGATCTTAAGATTAGTGCCAGAAAGGGAGGAAGATGGCAGCATTGTAGACTAATCGGGAATACCCCTGATTTTTACCTCCAGAACATGTTTCTTAGCATAAATTTCAGGATCTGTGCTCCAGTATCTGAATGACCTAAATGTGACCTGATTCTCATTGACTTTTTATTTGCACATAGCTCTGAGGAAGTTGAAAACTACTTGACAGTGTATCTGGGCTTTATTTCTTTTCCATGAATCACACCCAACCACCCACAAGCAGGTTTATATGGCTCTCCACTTAGCAAATTTCTAAAATTAATTTCATGTTCTGTATCTATTCAATAGGCACAAATGGTTTCTAGTTTTAGATTAGTAGGTGATATTTTGATCATGAATATGTCTATTCATAGAGACATGCAAGGAGAAGACTTTAAAAACTGACACTCCAGTGGAAATGAAAAAAATTCAGATTTTTAAGTGAATTAAGATGATATATCACTGTCTGCCAAATCCATTTTTTAACTATTACATTAGGAGAGTATTTTTTTTTTTTTGGTAATTCTCAAATGTTAATAAACCTTAGAAATTAGAAAAAGATGAGTAACAACATATGATTTACATTTTTTCCCCCAACCTTTTTATTTTGGGTTTAAAGTAACAATCTTTCAGTGTCCACAGTATTTTGGAAAATCACTTCTAGTAACAAATTTTGAGCATTTTATTCCTTTAGATATAATTTGGTCCTTTAGAAATAATTTGGTCCTTTAGAAAAAGGTATCATTGATTTCTCAGTAATACATCATTTCTGGTAACCGACTGAAAATCACTCGGCTAATAATTTCCCTCTGCAAAAATTTCTGAAACCTTTGTGCACTGGATGGCTTAAAAGTTACATCAGACAACAAATGTATGTGTTAAAATTTAAGTTGAAGTTAGATCAGCTGATGATGTAAAGTAACACTGTCTGAATTGACAGTGGGAGAAGAATCACGTGCACACTTGATGGTCACCTAAATTGGAGTTTTCTGACTCCATGATTGTCTTGAGCATTCATTTCAGGTGTGCTTGTCAATATCTTACAGCCTGAGACTTCACAATCAAGGCTTACAGTTGTGTATTCATAGTTGCAACAAGTGGTAAATAATTATGAATGCTTTCAGTGTCCGAGATGATCTTCTAGCAAGGAATAAAGGGTGGTCTGAGATTCCAGTTGGATTTTGTTGTTACTCCTGGCAATATCTGGAAAGGGTTGTCTATTGCATAAGTTCATCAAGTTTTGTAATTGGTACAAAACATATACAAGTACAAACTGATAGGACTCAGTTATCCACACGACCTCACTAACCTGAGAGGAAAATTGACATAAGGTACATCAAACAAGTAGAAACTTGGGTTTGATAAACTTAAACATTTCATTATTGAAATTTCCAGTTTTCAATTACTTAGGGCAGTCAGATATTTTTGTGAAGAGCGTCAATTAAAAAAAAAATCACTATCAGAATTAGAAAACTCATCCAGATGTACTTAAAATTATATATGCTGAATTCCAACTTCTATGCATATTTTGAAGGCAGTGATGAAAGGACTGTATTTGTAGATGAATGAAATGACCAAAACAAGACTCCTCAAAGCAAAATCGCTGATACTGAAGTTGACGCGAAGTCTCCAGATTGACGCAACGCAACAACCCTCCTCCCCCACAGCAGTAAAGCACATTTGCCAAAATGCTTTACCTAAAGCTCCAAAAAGTCAGTTCACAAATGTTCAGACATAATCTTTGAATCTTCTCCCAATAAATTTGTAAAACTGAGACTTGAAGAAATAGATAATGTTGAATATGTAGTCGGACTAACAAATTTTGCAGTCCTTTTTAATTCAAAGAGTTTATGATTCTGAGTTTCATAAAGACTTTTATGATGAAGGTTAAGGGACCAGAGAAACAGACTTGCTTCTCTTGTTAATGATATATTTTACACACTAGATAATCTAGTCATTTTCCCATTTTCCCAGGGTCATAATTGGGTATGTGAAAGTATATGGCCTACTGGCAGAGCACCAGGCTTGGAATCTGCACAAAATTTACAGTGCATGGGCCAGTCCCAGACCCCTCACTTCCAACCAAGCCTCATGATGCCCAACTTTCACGAGTGCTAAGGTTGAGGACACCTGAGATATGAGATACTCTAATAAAAGACAAACAGCCACATACAGGTAAAGTGCAAATGCTTCTTTGATGCACTGGTATGAAGAGCTTCAAAAACCACAACAGAAATATTGGTGCAAGAAGTGAACTATTAACTGGTCAGAAAGATTTCAAGTGACTTGGAAAGTTGTCTAGGGTCAGGGACAACTAAGGATGAATAACCTTAATAAATGAACAGAGCATATGAACTGGAGCAAACAGCATGGATGTGCAGTGATGTGTCAGAGTTCAGAAACAGTCTTCAGGCAAATACTTAATAGTTCCCTATATAGAACAGAACATTGGAATTGTAAATTGGCTAAAGGAATACTGATCCCACCTACTGGCAATGTGTTTTGAAGATTTCACTGTATTATGATTATAGTTGACATGCCTGATCTCTGACTATAAACCACAAGATCTAGCGAAGGATCTTGGTTCCAGGAGGTACTCATTAAATATTTAAGTGAATTGAGTGGGTGAATGAATGAACACATAAAGGGATGAATCAAAGTGCTTTATAAATGTAAAGTGCTTTACAAATACATAATGTGATATGTGTATATAACAGGTAAGGCTACAGACTTATAAAATTTGCTAAGAAAGTTTTGGGAGAAAATGTTAAAATGGTTTTAAAAAGCAAATAAAAGTTGTGGTTATATGTGTAGTGAGGAAATATATTATGAAGACATGTTTTCTGGTGCATTGGAAGAAATGAAGGAAGGCAGAATAATTATAAATGGCAAAAGCTAATATTGCTAACTTGGGATCATATACTGGGGTAAAGGAAGAGAGATACAAACCCCAATAAAGACTTTGTAGTAGCTAGAGGTTTACATCACTGGTTGTATAAAAATGACATCATTGTTAATACAGCAATACATAGATTGGTCCAATGTTCATTAGTAGAAGACAGAACAGTCAGTGCAGCAGAAAAATTAGACTTAAATGGTTTGTGCCTTCTTAGCTGCTTGTTCATCCATACATGCTAACAAAGCAGTGTAGGCAATGAAAATTGAAAGAAAATTTACCAGTGGGAATTTTAAGTTCAATACCTGGTTCTGACTCTGGGAAAAAATCGCTATCTTTTTTTTTGGGGGGGGGTTGAGGGGGCTCAATATTTTTTAAAGATTTATTTATTGTGTAGAAGAACTGGGACATAGGCCAGAGGTGCAGGGGACAGGGGTGAGAGGAGTCACCAGAGACAGTGGGGAGCAGAACAGGCAGATTTATGAAGTACACTGCTGAGGGGAGCAATGGGCAAGACAGAGTTCTGCTGCGCCATGTGGGTCAGCTCCTTGGCTCTGGGGATTGAAATCAGGCCATGGTGGCATAGCTAGGGTATAGCAGTAAGACTTAACCCCCAGGCCACCAAAGAGACCCTGGGGCAGGCCTCAGTTTCCTATTCTGTATGATGAAAAGGGTTTATTAGATGCTTCCTAAGAATCTAACATGGATACAGATACCGAAGGATGGGGGTGCAGTGAGCAGGAGGGAAAAAGCAAGTACAGTCGTCAGGAATTAGCAAGGCATGTCTTAGAAAAATATCTGAAAACTGCCCAAGGAAATAAAAAGGGAAATAACATTTCATAGGAGAAAGAAACCATACCCATAGGGTTCTTTTTACCTTAAGTTAATCGAATTTAAATATTAATTCTTATCATGGAATGGAAGTAATCTTGAACTGAGCATGTGTTCTAGCAAAGCTTTTTCTCAAATGAGCAACAGACTCTGGGGGCATTATCAACTTTATACTCCTTCAAAATGAAGAAATAGCATAAAATTTTTATTTTTGCCAATAACCAATAGATCTGAGAATTATCTGCATATGATAATATAACTATTTAAAATTTTATTCCTTTTATATAATCTGTACTTGCAAACTTTTACATATGAAGTTTCATATATTTTTAGATGGCATTTGTGTCATATCTGTGTTATGTGGATAAAATAGGTATTGAGAATCATTTGAGTACTTTATTCTGATTAGCTCGTGGGCCTGCCTTTGCTGTAAAGAGTAAGTTGAGAAATCAGGATAACCTAGAGAGGCCACATGACTACAGTATAGAGAACTGAACCAGTTGGAAAGCTGCACGCAGAAGACATGGCCATGAGAGAACAGAGAATTGGCAAATGTCAGGTATAGAAAATATTAAGGTGAAAAAAAATTAAGTATTTCTGCTTTGTGTTTTAAAATACTTTCTTTGGTATTTTTTCAAGAAATTAGAATCTGTGGAATTTTCTTCCTCTGAATGCATTTTGTGGTGTTCTGGATCAATGAATGTGCTTTGTGTGTGTTAAAGTGACATTCAATTTTAAGTCTGTACATCTGTACATTTAGTAAATCTGCATGATAATAATCTTGCAGGGGAGACAGGACAAACACTTTTATTTTCCAAAATTGCAAACTGAGATTCATGGAGGTTAAAGCTATTTTCCCAGTAACATAGTGGGAAACTCAGAGTAGAGTCAGCTAATATTCTTTGCATTGCTCAGTGCTACCTCTCTGTGATAAAAAGTCACCAGATATATCCAAGAATGACCAAATTTTTTTTTTCCCTCTTCCTCCTCCTTATTCAAGGAGCGGGAATTAGAAAGACCTAGAACTCTGTGTGACAGAACTTTTTCTGATGATAGGAATGTTTTGCATTGTTCAATATATGAAGCTCAAATGTAATTGGCTAATATGGCTGAAGAAATACATTTTTATTTCATTTAATTTATATAGTAACATTTGGCAAATGACTATCATAATGGACAACACAGACCTACACGCTACATGTGAGAGAGATTAGAAATTGCCCTAGGAATCTCAAACTAAAATAATAATTGGGGTATAAATTAAACATTATAATTGAGCTTGAGATTTCAATTTGTTAGTATAACTTTAATTCCAAAGCATTCGTAAGTAAACCAATATTGTGCTTCTGCTGGACTTAATATATTTTTCTTTTTAGTATTTTTAATGAATCACTGAGGATTATTTTTATAAATAATGAAGATGAATTAACAAAATCCCTTTGTAGCACCATTTAGCTGATTTCTCCGGATGTGCATTATTTTAAATTTTAAAATTGTTACTGTTATCCTCTAGTCATTGTGTCCTTTTTGATATGTAGAGTTTACTCTGAATCTCCAGTAATTTTGTGCAGGTCTAGTCATCTTTTGTAGTAAATGGGTACCAAAACCGAATCATAAGTATGAAGCAGAGTGGAAGTTTCATTAAAGTAAGGATTCAGCCTGATAGTCCCGTTCCCAGTTGATGATTGCTACAGAATAGGAATGTCTAACCACCTTGTTTTATTAGGAATGTTTTCCTCAAGTCAGTAGGCTTTTTCTTTCCAAAAGTTTTCCCTATTACTTAGTGCTTTGCTTCATTGGACAGTTCAGAGTTTCATGTTTGCTTTAATAGCATTGCCAATTCTTTTGAATCAAAAATGAAAAATGAGCTCTGAAAGGCCTAAAGAGAACATGCTACTCCAAAGAATTGTGTAAGGAGTTGGATATATATATACACACAGGTTTTTTTATACTATGTCAATCAGCCGCTATTGGAAGTCACAGCGACCATGAAAGTAGCATCTTATCCTAAAAGGAATCGTCTGTGTTTATGCTTTTGTAGAATACCAGTTGCACCAGTTACATTGGCAAGTCATTTGGTTATTGGCATCTGCATAAATGTACTCCACAAGAAATAAGGTGGACTAGTTCATGTAAACTGAACCTAGCTGCAGGAGAGATTGTCATCACATCCTTCAATTACTTTGCTCGTCAATTTCTTTGTAGTTACTATGTCGGTTCAGAAAACAATTACTACCCTCATCAGGTACTTAAAAATATAAAGCAAAATATAAATGATGGAAAATGACACTAGTTTGGTGAAAATGTCCTTTTACGTAGACACTTGGAAAGATGTTGATCTGTTAGTAAAATGCTGCTTAGGAGAAATCTCTGCTTCTTGATACCTGAATCTGCAAATGTTGGATACTACACCCTACCCGAACCAACAGCTTTTTCTGGCACGGGATGTAAGCTGTATGGGTCGAGATGTTGATGGAGTTGTACACACAGTACCTGTATTGAACCTTTAGGAGCTTGGTATATATTTATGTGGGTGTCATGTTCCTCCTCAAGGGATGCCTCTCCTTTTATGGGGAAGTTTCAAAATCTGAATTGTGATTACAGGTCAAATAACAGGTCCTTCCTAAGGAGATTTTTGCATCTGGATTATTTAGCTAGGAAGGGGTTGATATGAATGAATGTGGCTCAAATTGGCAGGAAAATGATTGGCCCTGCAACTAATTGAACCAATTTTTCTAAGTGACATAAAAATATTCTAATATTAAGGATTATTTTACAACTCTATGGAAATATGCTGTAATGCATCTGCATTTGTTTTGTCTTGATGACAAAATGCACTCAGAATCACAAGAGCCTGCCTTGTGTTAGTTATAAACAAAAATATATTTATATATATATTTATGTAACTACTATGTGCTTTAAAGAAAATTACTGTATGATTCAGCAGGGTTCTTTCATTCTTTTTATCGCCAGGGGTATGCTGACTTGAATGGCTTCTTGGGCAGGAATCAACAATGAAACAGGCCTTTAGTACTGAAATAGCAAAAAGTTAAAAAACAAAACCAAAAACACCTGTTTAGAATCTCTTGCTTCTTTTTCTTCTAAAACAATTTAGAACTCTTCACATTGTTTGTGTTTCCTCAGCCAGGAGCAACCGTGGCTTCATTGGACTTCACAGTTGGAAAATAGAGGCAATTCTTAAAAAAAAAAGTTTTATTTGAAGGTGGGGGAGCTGAAAACCTCATCTGTCTGCCATTCCTGCTTTCCTCATCCTTCCCTAAAAGTTTGGAAATTTGGTCACAGGTCATTAACATTCCTTAAGAGGGAAGAGCAAGGCATAGTTCAAACTTCCAGTACAAATAAAAGAGCCATCCATCCATAAAGTAATGAACTTGTTTGAATAAGTGGATTTAGACCAGAAAAACAAAATCCTGCCACAAATCTGGTGAAGAGAGAGAATTTCTTATTTTTGAGTTGTTTTTGCTTCTGCAGGAGCTATTTGTCTCAGCAATCTTATTTGTCATTGCTCTTTTGAGAAGGGTTCAGGCTTTGGAACACAGTTATCTTTATTATATCAGACAAGAATTTGAACAAAGGTATAGATCCCTATGAACTCAAGCTTTGGGATTTTTCTCCCGATCCCTTTACAACCCTGCACCTAAGCCAATAGCATTATAATTTTGCCATACTTCTGATAAGTCCCCAGGAGATGTTCTGAATATAGATGTCATTCCACTAGATAATTCTATGTTCAGTGGTAAATGGTATCTTGTATAAATTTTAGTTTTTCTTTTCCCCTTCCTGGACTGGGCTCAGGAAATCTCGTCTCCTTCATACTAGAGCAGCTTAGGGCTCTTGTGAGAGAGACAGAGAGAGAGAGAGAGAGAGAATGTATGTGTGTATGTGTGTGTGTGTTTGTCTCTCTGTATGTGTTTGTCTTAAAGGTATAGGCAAAATTTAGTCTTAACACCTGTAAGCCAGCACTGGTGCTGTTCTGTCCTAGAAATTTTAGCACTGCTCTGATACAATAAAACCTTCTTTCTCTCCAACTGGTTCGACTTCAGCATAGGCAGGATGGCCAGAACCTCTTCGAAACTTCATTGCTGGCCATCTGCTTGGGCGTCTCTAAAACAGAAAACACAGAAATAATGAATAGCAGAATGATGGTCATATCATCTGAAAAATATATTTGCCAAATATGTAAGATTAACTTCTGAGTTAAAATCAGTACCACATTAAAATATCTCTTATCACCATAGTCAGAATTATAGGCCCTCAAAGACCACACCCATGGCATTATCAGCTCCTGGCTGGGAGTCTATTTGCACACCTACCCCCTTGGATCAAGGGCTCATCAAAGATGAGAGCTATGCATGGTGTGTTTTTATATCTAAAAGTTTCTGTAAGCAAAAGTGAACTGTATAAACAAGTTTTCTTAATAGACAATCACTGACACTTTCTCTTCCCTAGGATTTAATATCACCACTTCATTTTATTCATTAATTCAATCAAAAGCATAAGGCCATAAGGTTCTGCACAATTCTTAGAAATGTGTTTTGAATTTGGTGCTAGACTTGTTAGCAAATACACTAAAAGAAAAATCAGTTAAGAAATTATTTATTAAGCTAATATTTCCCATATGATTTATTTTGTGCCTGAAAATGAACAGATGCCATGCCCTGAAAACTGAATTCAACATCAGAGTACATGGGTGATTTCAAGTCTGAGTAAACAATTTGCAGATGTAGAAACTAGTCCTAAAATACCGGTTATTTATATTGACAAATGGAGTAAATAATCTTCCCAGGACTCCGTCCACCAAACAAACCTTCTTGTGATTTACAAATAAAAGTGCTTGAAGTGAATTGTTATTCACGGTTAATCCATTTATCAGCATGCTAAAATCTTGGAGTAAGATAATATTGAAGTTATTTGATTTCTAAATTTACCCTTAGAGTTGTAAAGTAAAAAGTATTAAATATAAGTGCAGATCGAATGGTATTCGGCAACATTTTAGACTTGCCAATTACTTTGTGCCATTAATTATTTATAACGATAAGAAGAGTCTTCCCATCAGGTTGGAATGACTATAAGCAATACTTTCTGGAACAACACCAATCAATGTAATTATATTCTGCCTACTATTAATGTTACATATTGTCTATATAACATTATCTGAGCAAAATACTTTATACTTACTAGATGAGTAAGTTGTATGAGGTAAGTGAAATTGAATCAGCCTACTTTGCCAAAGAAAAAGATGAGAGGGCTGAATACAAAATGGTATGTCTTCATGGGAACTAAAAATGAGCATCAATGGAAATAATAGTATTTCTAGGGAGATGGACACAGTAATTCATGGTCACTCTTGTTTGGGGAAAAAGCCGATATGTTGTCAAGTTCACTATTTCTAACCCTATTTCTGGTTTAAGTTTGATTAAAACTGGATTTCTCAAACCAAAACTACCTTACCCTTCTCTCAGTCAATGGCACCATTAAGTCTATGTTCTAATTTCCACCTTTGCAAGGTCTGCCTGGCCTGGGGGCCCAGATGGCTAGGCCAGCTGATGAACTAGCATGGATTTTCAACACAAGTCATTGTTCTCTTGGTGATGCTTCATTACTTAGGAGCTCAGATGGAGAGAAGTTACAAACATGCTTTGAGTGTTATATTTTATTCTGCATCCATTTCATGCTTTGTCCTAGACAATGTATATACCTGAACTTTATTAAGATGCAAAACTCAACACTTATCATTTGCACAAAGTTGTAAAAGTAGTCAATGGCAGAATAGAGAGCTAAAATGAAATCTCTTTCCAGAGATAATACCTCCCATTATACAAATGAGGGTCAGGAGAGGGCTGCTGTGCCATGTGGGTCACCTCCGGGGTGGGGATCGAACTCATGCTGAAATGGCTTTAGCTTCTTAGTGCTGTTTTTAACCTGTTGCACCACCGAGAGGGCCCTCAACCTACAGTTTTTCAGAGATTCCTTGTATGTGAAAACACTGGGAGTGTTTCTGTGACTTAAGGAATGAGGGAATGTTTAGTTCTCATAGGACAGTCTTGAAGGTTGTTGCTATAAACAGATAATAGGACCATCTCCCCAGTTGACAAAGGGCTCTAGAAAGCTGGCATCATGGCTGGTTCTGCCACAGAGGTCAATGGCTTCACAACCTGGCATTTCTTCCTTGAGGCGTAGACATTACCAAATCTGTATTCGTTTTAAAATGGTTAATTCAAATTGTTACTGGAACTGAAGGGGGTCAAAAGGTCACTTGCTAACAGAGCAGGATGTATGCTGAAAACTGCAAACTTCAAGCCAGACTGTAATGTTAATTCATTACAGAGATTCAGGATGTAATGCTTTAAAATGTTACTGGGTGCAATGCGTGGGTGATCTTTAATTTCATTTCTGAGAATTATTTATGTGATTAATCACATTCAGAAGTAAATGTTCACATGGCTGTGTTGGCTGGGGTGGGTTTTGCAGCCTGTGTTCTTTCTAATTACTCCTTCAGTAGTATTAATTGAATGGTCTATCCAGAACTGTCTCAATGGTCTGTGGCAACACAATTAGCTAAAATATCCCCAAACAAACTTGCAGGGTATCCTCACTTATCAGTGTACATGGTTTTGCTGCTGAAGGCTTCTCTCACAGCTTGGAAGCAACAGAAAGTGCTTTTATTGGGGTAGATGAGCCCTTGAAAGGATGTTTCTAGGCATAAGTGTGAAAGAAAAAGGATGGATTTTGATATTTCAGGCCCAGTGAGAAAATACTTGCAGTGCACAATGGCAATCAACAAACAGTCGTTCCAAAATTTCTGGTGGTCTGTGTCATTTTCATTGGAGATGAGAGGAAAGAGGATGAGCTAGTGACAACAGACAAAATCGCAGTCCTGTCTCTTCCCAGCACAGGGCTTAGCAAAGTTACATGTGTGCTTGGTCCTTCAGTTTCCCCATCTGGAAAATGGACTATGTATTTTTTTTTTCTTTAAGATTCATTTATTTATGCATACAGAACTGGAGTACAGGCCAGAAGTGCAGGAATGGTCAGAGGATTCACCAGAATCACAGTGGGGAGCAGAACAGGCAGATCATTGAAGTACATTGCTGAGGGGAGCAGCTGGTGAGGCTACCACACCATGTGGGTCACCTCCCTGGCCAGGGAATTGAACTGGCAGTGAAGTGGTTGCGGTGAGCTTCATGGTGCTGCACTTTAGCCTGTTGCACCACCAGAGTGGGCCTAGGTATTGTTTTCTAAACTTTTCTTTTTTTGATTACAAAACAAAACAAAAAAAGCCTCAGTCACAGATCCTCTGCTCTCATGCAGTGTTAATTTGGAATCCTGAAGAACATTTCACAGAGCTGGTTTCCCTCACACAGGGAGCCCCAAGGGAGACTGTAGGTCCTATACCTTCTCAGGGCAGATTTTTGTAATCTGTAGCATAAATTGGTGTGGCTCAAGCCTGACTGTACATACAAATCACAAGAGATCTTTTGAAATGCAGTCTGAGCCAGTGGGGCGGGGTGTCTATGAGGGTGTATTTCCAGCAAGGTCCCAGCTGAAGCTGACATTGCCGACCCATATAACACAATTTGAATAACAAGAGTAAAGGCCCGCTAAAGTCTCCGCAAACAGGTGCATACTGTAAAAGTAGGTGGCGAAAGAAAAAATACTGAACTTTGATCTTCTCAGTGTTTCTGGTGGCTCCTCCTGAACACTGATGGGGTATTCCTAACAACTCAGTAAATTTTTCTATACTGGGCTTTGAAAAAGTTTGCCTCTTCAGGAAAAGTGAGGTTTATTTTTTCATACTGCTAAATACTGTCAAATATGAATTGCAGATAAAGAACAAGGAGCTTTGCAAAATTATACTTCATGGGACATGCTCTTACTAAAATACAAAAATAAATAAATAATCTATGTCCTGTATTTCATTTAGCAACCCTATCTATAAGGAAGCACAAGAATTTGGGCTCTGGCCAGTGAAACTTGAACCTAATTAACACAAACTCCTTTGCCTGTGCTGCTTTGCTTCATGAATGACAGGTTATTTTTTCCTTAAAATATTTGCTTTTATTATCTTCTGGTGATGCTTAGAATTCCAGCAATACACTTGTATGTAACAAAGCCTGGGTGTCTCTTTAAACATTTTCTATTCGTACTGGTTTGGCTGTTTTCTCAGATGGAATTTGTTTTATTACCTTACAGTTGTCTCTTCTCCAGCCTTCAACTGCTGTTTGCCATTGGCAGTGGCTTTTACTCTAGAACAATCCTGTAAGCTGATCCTGAGAATTACTTAATATCAGCACAGTTGGACATGTCCAAGATGAAAAATGTACCTAAAACTTAGATAACAGCTATATTCTGGGATTAAAAAATATTATTCATGTGATTTTAAGAAAGTGAAAACATTCTTAAAAACATTAAGTGATTGTCCAGTGACTACTAAGCTACATACTCTTTACTACATGAACAAAAAATAATCACAGGTTAGTGGTGCTCATATTTCACTAAAAATGATCACACCTAAAATTTATTTAATGTAATATCACTTCAATAAAAGTATTTAAGTGATTTATTTTAAAATAAAAAAAAGTATTGAAGTATTTAAACATAAAAAAGGACTGTGGTCTAGGCCTACCTTAGTCAACTGATTCAAAATCTCATTATTAAAATTTCCTAGGATCAGTCAGATGCACAAAGAGGGCTGAGATCCTCTGTCTGAAACCTCATTTCTCTTGATTCCAAATCTCATCCCAAGTGCCCCACCCGGTATATGCCTGTGGTATTCCTCTAGCCTCAAATGCAACTTCTTCATCTTTGTCTCACACACTCTTAACATTAGTTCCATTATATATGGATAGATGGATTTCTGTCTACAGATTAGAAGTTACTTTTCATTCTCCTGTGTTGTCTCAGGAATTTACTGAATTCTTCCTCTATCTTGATACATTTTCACACACACATTTTTGTCTGTGTGGCTGCATGCATGTAGCTTATGTGTATATATTCCATTCTACATCTACGTCTTTGGGGTCATAGCCTATCATAGCCTGGTCAGCTCTGAAATAGCTACAATGGCATCAAGAAGGTATTTGGCATCTGGAGTAGGCCCTTTC